ATATCTAACTACTGCTAATAGTATCTTAGTAGCTTGTCCTTAGGGTTATCCTATTTCTTTAAATATAGTACTTTCTTAATGTCGTCTATCGTAACTTTGCTGATTTGTAGTTAATTTAGCTACTTCTCTCTATAGATAAAGTTGTGTAATAATTAGGCTATTAACTTCTTAATCTATATTCTTCTTATATTGGTTAGTCTGATTGTATAGTCTATACGGTTCTAGTACCTTGTCTACTCTCTATTTCTTGTAAATATATTGATATATCCTTTCTTTGTTAAGTATTAATTGTTAATATCTTGTAGTTAAGGGTCTCCTAATATTATACTATCTTTTTGTTAAGGAATAATATATATAAATACTTATTTTTACTAATAGCTATGAATATCTAGGTTGAAGTATATAACCTAGGTAATTCAGCCCTGATTCAGGACTATTTTATCTAGGATCTGTGTGGGTATCCTGATATGTAGGAGATTAAGCGACTGAACTAATACTTTATTTATAATTGTGTAATAACGGTATTTGTTATCGACTAGGGCTTATATAAATTGGATTTTATTTACTTTAGTATTAACTAGAAATAGTAGTGTTTCTTGTTTTAGTAGCTTTTTAACTCTTTTTCGCTTCTATTTGTGACTTAGAACTGGAGTTACTCTTTTTTTAAATCCTTGTTTAAGGAGAGTTTGTTCTTGGAAGCTGATATACTTGACTTATAGTTGGTTATATATTTAGCTTTCTTATCTTTAATCCTATAGGGGTATCTCTTTTTTAGTTCTTAGTGCTATATGGTTGGTAAGGAATACTTTATAATAAAGTGGTCTTATTTGTTATAATAAAGGTATCTTTCTTTATCTTGTTGTCTCTTTACCTCTTTATGATTAATCTACTTCGCTTACTTACTTGTTTTGGGCCCTGATTAGTGGTGTTTCGTATAGAATTCGGCTTGATTAACTATAGTAATTAGGGTCTAATCTATTGAGTCCTAGTGTTGCTGGATATATGTATAGTACAATCTTTTTAGGGTATTGATACTAAGGGTATCTATATCGGTACTGATTTTATAGAGTTGAGTAATAAGGTCCGAAAATGTAGCGGGAATACTACGATTTATTAACAAATTCGTCATACTTTTGTTTAAGGATCTTAATAAGATCTGTCTTTTTGTTTTGTTATATTATTTAAGGGTATCTATATCTGTAAACTCCTTCTCTAATCTAGGAAGGAATTTTGTAAAAGATATGCTATTTGACTGATATATCTGGTGGAGATGTCTTGTGGTATATGCTTTGATATTTGGGTCTCTGTAAATACCTTTAAGATAGTCCAGAATTGTCTACGGATCCCTATCGTTTTATTGTAATTTCATAAAGGTTCTGGTATTCTTCTAAGTAAGCTTCTTAAGCCTAGAGAATATATATATAAACTAATCTTAGGGTAAGCTAATTGCTATACTATTGATATATAGTTTATTCTCTATTGTTATATATTATATTAGCCAGTCGGCTGCTTTTCTCCTAAATGGGATTAGGTCTAGTAGTTATGTCTTTAGGTAATGTATAGGTTCTAATTGTGGGGGTTCTAGGGTCGATTTAATTATGGTTCGTGCTGGAGTTGGTTCCCCTGTCGTCGTCGTCAACCGTAAGGCTAATTGCTCTATTATAGTCTCTAGGTGATGGATTTGTTTGTCTTAGGCAATATGCTCTTGGTCGTATTGTTGTATTAATTCCTCCTATACTGTGTGTTCTATATCGATTCGCTTGTTCTATTTGCTCTGTATGGCTTGCGACTGTACTATTTATTGCAGTAGTGTCTGCGCCTATGATAGTGGGCTCGTAGATTCCTGTATCTTTTACTTAGGGGTCGCGTCGCCAAATCACTCTTGATTCAGGGACGATTCGTATATGGTTTTAGATTTTTACAATATCCAATTGGAAGCTTTTTATTTGTGAAGGGCTAAAGTAGAATTTATGTTCAATTGAGCTAGGCCATGTACTATGTATAAAAAGCTTAAAGAGATAATTACCAAGTAGGTGTTCTACGTGTTAGGTTGTTATGGTCACGTGTGCCACGTGACCTTATACCGGGCATTGGCCTGTGACACTAATAGAGTCTTAGAAAAGTTGAATATATATTTAGATTCTCTTCCTACTCTTAAAGTCTTTGATCAAAAACCAGTGTTATCTAGTAGCGACAGCGACCCTAATACTCTTTAGACTCTATTAAAATTCACTAAATCGTAATCTTTGATTAAAAAAGGTCTAGAATCATTATCTTCAATTATATCTTCACCGGTTAAACGAAAGATTAAGAAGATATATAATATGACTATTAAAATTGTCTATCACTATCTTTTTCTCCAAGATTGTTGTAGCTAATTGGAAGCTACTAATAAAAAATAAATCAAAAAACGTGCCACTAAGTATCAATTTATTGATAAAAAAGGCATATTTGGAGGTTTAGAGAGTGGTAAAGATGATGTGGTGATTAAGAGTACGATTGAATATAAAGATATATCTTTGCTAGATGTGCCTACAGAAACTGAGACTGAGCCAGCTTTATCTTCTATACCTACAATATATCTGTAGATAACATGTTCTGGATGTGGAATTAAAGGTCATACTTATACTAAATACCCTACACGTGTTAAATAGTCAATATTTTATTGTTTTTGTTGTTTTAATAGTTATTGAAAGTTGATGGTTTTTTGAATTTTGATGGGGTCGCTCGCCTAACCGGTTCGCCCGGCTAACCGGGAGTCACGTTATATAAAATATGAATACTAAGCAAAGCCTTGGCAGTATTAATACTGTATTGAAGTAGGTGGTAGGAGTTGACAATAAGGCTAGTAGTAATATTTAAATAGTGTTATATTAAAGTAAGAAGTATAGGAGTGGTATAATAGGTAATTTAATATACTACCTTCTATCTATTCAACTATATATATATAGTAGTAACTATAATAAACTAAAAAATAAGTAGCTTAGGTTAACTAGGTTAATTAGATTATTAAAATAGATAAAATCTTTTTCTATCTACTATTCTAGACTATATACTTAGACTCTCTTATATAAGATAGGTATCTCTATAGAAACCTAACTAAGCCTTAGAGAGCAGCTAATTAGCTCTAGGTTCTCCACTATCTTAGTTAGTTATATATTATTTAGATAGATATAATATTCTTATATATACTCTTACTTCTACTCTTATTACTATATATACTTCTATTCCTAAATATTAATAACTAATATAATATTAGACTCTATAGGATAGGAAGTTCTATTACCGGTCCTAGATTTATTCTTAGAGCCCTTTAGATATCTATATCCCTTTTTCTACAGGTCTATAAACGTTATATAGCTTAGGGGAAATATAACTAACTACAATATATAGATATATATATCTAACTAGTTTCCTAAAGCCTTAGTCTATACTAAAATTTTAGGCTAGACTAAACTAAGCTTTAGTTACTAGTATAGTAATATATAATATTAATATAGTATATTAGTAATAGCCACCTTAGCTATAGTAAGCGCCTTTTACTTTATTAAATAGCTTAGATAGATAGTTTTATACTTCTTACTATATTCAGATAGATATTTCTAGATTAAGTATCTATTGGCGTAAAGGCTATATTTAGCTATATTTAGATAACATACTTATATATATCTAAAATTTTAATATTCTTATACTACTTTATACAACTATATTAATAAAAGGCTATAATATAGTAGAGCTTACTATTCTAGACTACTCCTAGATTAATTATATTATTAACTACCTGGGATTAGTAACCTCTATAACTACTAATATATAAAACCAGTAGTCCTTTAAGATAGTAAGCTATCCTAGATATACAATTTTAAATAGCCTCTCCTCGAATAGCTTCTCCTTAATATCCTATATTAGTATATAGTATTATATTATTAGACTATAGTTTCTGAACAGCCTAGAAATAGTAGCTACCTCCTAAAAGAAAAGACTATCTATTTTTAATCAATACCTACTATATCTACTCTAAATTATCTACTAGCTCTACTAAAGAACACTTTTATATTATCTTATAGTATTAGTCAGATATCTTAACTATAATCTCTTAGTTAGATTATAATACAATAGATAATATACTAGAGATAACTAAGTTATTACTGATAGAGAGAGAAACTAGTAGCCTAATATAGTAAGTACTATATTATTAGCTTAATATACTAAAATAAACTATAGAAATATAGATTTATATAGTATTTAATAATATTAATATTAATTTAATAGCTATCTTAAATACTTTTACCTTACTCTAGAGAATACTAATTATTATAAGTACGTTCTATATAGTAGGTATATTACCCTATTAGATATTTTTAGTATACTTTTTAATTTATTAGAGGAATATAATACTAAATAGGCTAGAAAAACCAATATTCTCTATCTTATTTAGTACCTTATATACTCATTTAGTAATTTAATCTATTATAAGCTCTAGAGGGATATAAATCTTTTAATATATAATTTTTAACCTCTAGATAGATCTAAGTAATATAGAATAGTATAAAATTTAATATTCAGGATATAGAAAAGCTTCTCTAGACTATACTACCTCAATAATAGCTATTTTAATAAATAAAACCAATATTAAAATATAGCTAGCGAAGTAACTAAGAATTTGAACTAGGTCTTAGGTTCCTAAGACCTCTAGTTAATAAGTTATTCTAAGAATTATATCACGGGATTCATGAATCCCTTCGGGTACGATTCGGGTACGATTCATAGCCGCTCCGCAGGCGAATCTACCTCGATACACCCGCTAATGCATGACTACCCTAAGCCCTAGCAAGCTCTAGCAATATTAAAACGCACGAACAATAGCTACGATTCTTGTCCTGCAAGAATCAGTTCTGTATATCAACTGTTCTATTTGATCTCTACTATCCGATATCCTTGCCTAGTCACAGGTCTCTAGCCTGACAACTTAGTAACCATTACAAATTAGATTTATTAAGATGGACATCAACTTGATCTTTTCGTTGTACATATATATAGCCTTATGTTTCCCTCTGAATATATGATGCAATTTACATCTCTGAACTAAACAGTACAAGATTACAGCAGGCCATCGTGGTGACAGAAAACACTCTGGCTGAGAATCAAAAACTTATGAACGAAATTCGTCTATTCCAGCAGCAGGTGGAGTCGATGAATGCTACGAGCCAGGATGACGTCCCATGGAACGATATTCAGCTGGTATTGCATCAAACACATGACGAGCTAGTGTCTGCGACCACGCGATACAGGAACGCGATCGACGCTCTCCAAACCGCAGACTGGCATCATTTTTGCCCGGCTCTGGAGTGATCCATAGAAATTAGACGGAGCAGTACGGCCCGCTAGGAACCTTGGGACAAAATGCCCTTTCCGGGTTCCCCGCTTCGGGCAATCCTCCGCTGAGCACTCAGCGAGAGCCCGAGGCGAATAATGTATTCGATTCGCTTGTGTAAAGCCTTCGGTCATAATCTTCCGGTTGCTGTGGATCCCGTCCAATTGACGAAGCTGCATTTTGATATCAGAAATTATAACATGCTTAATTACCCCATAAACACATCGTTGTCGTCGCACTACAGCCGTAGCATGACCTCATTGGAGATAGAACATGAATTTATTGCCTGCCTTAAAGAAGTACAGCTTTCCCTAAAGTAAGATGAATCCCTTTCAGGGCAGTATTGTTCACCGCCAAGCGAAGTAGCCCGTAACTTGGCTCCATCGCAGCTGGGTTCCCGCCGCTCGGTGGATCATGATCGTCGCTCCCTCTGCTCCGCCCTAGGCCCCACACGGAAGATATGATAATCCACGCTGCTCGGGTGCTTCATCCGATCATTGCAAGCTTTGGCTACTGAGATACCAGATGGTCTACCACTCAGCCAATTTTAGCAAAGTCAACTCAAAGGCTTGCCACGGGTCATATTATTTGCAATTATCTGCCAAGAGCCCTGAATGCAACGCCGAAAATTTTTATCAGTGTCCACGAATGTCATTTGCTGGGCCGGCCGCTCAAGATTTCAAATTTTGCTTTCGATTTTGTCACTCTTCGCGTTGGCAATTTTAGTAGGGTTTTGTCTAACAAGGTCACTAGTACACATGTCACTAATTTTCACCTGCTCTCACCCTGCTTCTTACCCTCTCTACTGCGCACTCACCTGTTTGATGAGGACTCGACCGGGAGAGGTCACGATCGCTTTCATCACTATGCCGAGGGGCTGGAGCAACTATATCAAGGGCAAAAATACCATGGCATTGGCGGGTATGGCGGGCGGGGATGGCGGCCCCAACCTCCAGATTATCCTGGAATGGGGCTAGCGGGTATGCTTGGTCGGTATTAAAGTCTGAGTCTGGGCAAAGATGACGTATTCTTGGATACAGTAGACATCGTCCCGTGGGATGTTGATATGGGTTCCTTTCCCATGGAACGACATTGGTGGAAAAGAGGGGTCCTCTCTAGTCACGGGTATCTCATCCTCCCCCAGTGGGACATCTGGATGCACCGTTCAGGATTCACGTCTTTCATCTGTCGCTTTTCATCTTAAAATTGACTTCAATCTGGCCATGAGTTCCCAACGCAATTCACCGCACCAGGAAGCTACCCCCGCGAGCACGGGTCCTTACTGGGCGCCACACACGGACCCAAGCCCTCGATCGTCTCTCACCCCACAAGACTTCGTCTATACGGGTAATACTGCGCCGTTTACGCCACATACATCAATTCAGCGTACCTTCCCCACATTCGGCCCTACACCGTCCGCCTCAAACACAGACGTAGGTAATACTCCCGAGTCGGTACCTCTAGAAAAGGTCGCGATCCCCCGGATACCGGTCGCCAGCAACGCGCAGACTCGGCGACGTTCCGCACGCGCATGCGAATCCTGTCGACAGCGGAAATCAAAATGCGATGGTAAACGCCCCACTTGTGGTCAATGTATATATCTCGGCAATCGCTGTGTCTACGAAGAGGTGAAAAGAATCCGCGACGAGAATAAGATCAAGTCCCTCACAAATCGGGTGGAAGAATATGAAAAGACCCTTCGCAATGTTGAGAGTGAAGTCGATGGCCCGATGGCACGAAATATTAGAAAAGCACTGAAGGTGAGTGCAATCAACGACACAGTCCCATGTTTACTTTGGACCGTCAAAATCGGTCTGCGGATGGTGGGTTGACACGGAGCTTCATCTAGTTCAAAGACGGGACATCCACACAACGTGACGACGAGAATGGATCTGGTAGCTCATCGTCAGTGGGGTCTCTAGAAGGCATCGATTTAGTCAGCGAAGATTTAAACCGCAACGAGCATACGCGCGCTGCCGGCTTCTTCGGCAAGAACTCCGAGGTGTCCTGGATCCAGAAACTGGAGGATAGTGTAGGAAGAAGTAGCAGCGGGGGAATGTCGGACTCTTCTCACCTGGAAAGTTCAGAGGGACCTGCAGGGGATTCCGCGCCTTCAAATGACAAAATAGCGAGAGAAATTCCTATTGCTATGATGAGCTATCATTTGGATGATCTGCCTATCCCGGACGTGAACCCCCAGACGGATCAGTTTGGAATTCCGCCGAGAGAACGGGCTGACCAGTATTTCAATGCTTACATGACATTCGTCAATCCTTTCTTTAGTGCTGTTCGTCAATCGACCTTTACGCAACAATATCTGCTGTTTTTTAACCGATTATATGATCCAAATCGCAAGGTTGATCCACCGCGCAAGTGGCTGGCGGTATTGAATATGATTTTTGCTATTGGTTGTCGACATTGTCGATTGACGGATCACGCCAACAGTGACGTTTATGATGACCACCTAGTGTTTTTGATGCGAGCAAGACAACTGAGTCTGCAGGATAATATTCTTTTCGAACATACTGGACTTCAGCAGATCCAATTGGAGTTCTTGGTTGCTGTCTACCTGCTTTGCACTGGACGGGTAAATAGGTAGGTTTCTTGTTTCTCGTCTCTCAATATATGGGTGTTGATTAGTACAGTGCATCTAAATTCGTCAACATGGCCCTCCACTCGGCCATCTCACTGGGGATCAACCTACGTATTTTGGATGAGCGAACAGACCGCGCATCGAAAGAAGCCCGTTGCCGCCTGTGGTGGTCCATATACTCACTAGTGCATCTTCTCACCTCTATGCATGGCCGAGTTACCGGGGTCGGAGAGAGTCTTTGCTCAGTTCAACTCCCCACCCCAGTGGAAGAAGAGAAATTCGACGAACCAGAGATCCAACGCCTGTTCCTAGACCAAGCATCTAGGATCGAAGTTTCCGCCACACTATTCGAAAAGCTTAATCAGCCCTACCCAGTCCCATCCTGGACCTTCACTGTCCCACCCAGCTCATCCCTCTTCTTTCACTATCTAGTAGACCTCATCCTCATCTCCCAATCCGCCCTAAACAAAATATACAGCATCGAAGGAGCCCGGGAAGGAACAAGCCGAACAGAATACCGTCTTCAGAAATACGCTCTACGCATGGACCGATGGCTCTCAAAGTTACCTCCAACCTACCAATTCACCAAACCAGATGCCGGTCCATGGAGTCTGAACCACGCCCAACTGGACGACGAATCCCTCCCCTATACTCGTGAACGAGTCTGTCTGGCAATGAGCTACTATTCCGCCAGAATAACCCTCTGCAGACCATGTCTAAGTGAGAATCACCGTGACCCCGTCACACAGGAAAAGACATCCCGCGCGAAACTGCGTGCCGAAATGGCCACCCATTGTCTCCAGGCGTCTTGTTCGCTTATCTCTACCTTCCCGGAGAAAATCGATCTCGCCTGGCTTGCACGTGTGACGCCTTGGTGGAGTGTTCTTCATTTCCTGATGCAATCTACGACAGCACTAGTCCTAGGATTGTTATATTGCTCTTTTGCACCACCAGGCCAGGACGGACAAAAACCATCTGATCACCCGGCGACATTATCCGGCGCTTCGTACCCGTCGTTATTGGAATCGGATTTGGTTACCGCCCTGGGAATGACTAAGAAGGCTCTTTTGTGGATTCATACCATGGCTTCTGTGGATGCGGCGGCTTATCGCGCGTTTAAGTTGTGTGACAATTTTATTAGGAGGATTGCTCCTAAGCTCAAGGTTGACTTGGAGGATTGGCCT